AAAGAAATCGTGGTGGCGTGTAGCAATGACGAGCGATAGTCGTGATGTTTCGAAAGTTCAACTCCCGATCTCAAGAAGTTGCAACGTGTAGCATAACGTCGGATTGAAGTGGCCGGAGAACGAGGCTTGAGTTTAGCCACGTGATATGAAACAGTTCAGCGCATCGGAAATCTGGGGTGAAAACAGAAATGGCAGTTGCGTATGGTACAAAATAATTGCTCCTCTACCGCGTCCCCTCCAGCATTCGGAGCTCCAAGTGTCAGGTACCAGATCCCTGCAGCCATGATGGCGCTAACGCGATAAGGCCGCGGCTCCCTTATCGCGTCAGTCCCGCCGCCGAACCTCCGTCTGCCATCACACCCGACGGAAAGCTTCCGCTCTTCACTCACCCGGCTGAATCTAGACGCGGCTCCTGCGCTGTGGAAGAACCATTAGCAGAAGGTTCCCAATCTATTCACCAAATCATGACATGGCTACCGCCAGGATCCTGCCCACTCACGGAGTTGCCGTGAGCTGTGCCAGACTACCTAGGTACTGAACATGTACTAATCAGCCGCTCACGCCCTACAAGGATGCAAGGCGTAGCCAAGAGCTGCAGTCAGACTCTACATCGAGGAGTATGATGTCGTAGTTACTATCGTCTTCCCGGCATCGGTCTGCCTTTATATAGCAGAGTCTGCCGCCTAGCACTTCAGCCTCGTAAGACATGTAGTATAAGTTCCGACTTCCTCTCACTGTTTTTTTCTCCGAGTATCTTGTCATCAAAACTTTTCAACATGTCGCAAACCGCAACATCAATCGAACTTGTGAGCTATCCTGAGACATCGATCCCAGCCCTCACAGCTAAACCATTGAGCAATGGGGGAAGCAGGGATGCGCCGTCGATAGCTGAGGATTTGCGTCCTATCAATGTGGCCCAGGACACTTTCGCTGCTGAACAGCGAGATGGTCCTGGCAAAGGAACGACGGCCATCGTCTTAGTGACAGTTGTTTGTGTCACCATGGTCAGCTCCATGCTGTCGGGTGTCATGACTGTCACTCTACCTACGGTCGCACGCGAACTAGAGCTGGCACCTAGCGTACTCTTATGGTTTGTAGACACATCCCATATTCCATACTACCTACTGACGATACTAGGCCAATCTCCATCTACGCCTTGACATGTGGCTGCACTCTACTCCTTCTCGGTTCCGTCGCCGATGTCGTTGGGTCCCGACCTATGTATCTGGTAGGATGTCTCCTCCAATCCGCCTTTACACTAGCATGTGGATTGGCGCAGACCGGAACACAGCTCATTGTCTTCCGTGCCTTCGCCGGCGTAGCGATCTCCTTCTGTCTTCCTTCGGCTGTCAGTATCATCACCAGCACGTTTCCAGAAGGCAAGAGCAGGAACATTGCATTCGCATCCATGGGCGGTGGCCAACCCATAGGTTTCTCGTTTGGTCTCGTGCTCGGAGGTATCTTCGCTGATACCATCGGATGGCGGTGGGGTTTCCACCTCAGTGCGATCACTAACACGATCGTCTTTGTTCTTGGGCTGTTCGGTCTCCCAAAGGTCGACAACAAGCAGCCGCATGTCTGGTCTCGCCTGAAGAGCGAGATTGATTGGGTTGGCATTCTCTTTGGAAGCGCATCATTGGCGCTCCTCTCATACTGTTTCGCGTGAGTGTTGATCTCACATATCTGATGGCTCGATGCTAATGTCTTTAGTTTGATCTCCGAAGAGACTTCTAGGATCCGAGAGCCCACTACACTCGGTCTGCTCATCACTGCGATCGCTCTTATCCCTGCATTCATCTTCTGGGTTGGCAGGCAGGAACGACTGGGCCGGCCCGCTATCATCCCGAATTCACTCTGGCGCAACCGCATCTTCAGCATCATCTGCATCGGGGTCTTCATCACATGGGGAACTTTCAATGCTGTGGAATCGTACCACACGCTCTTCTTCCAGAACGTGCAGAAGCTGTCAGCAATCCAGACGTCGATCCGGTTCCTACCCGGGCCAGTTGCCGGAGCTCTCGCCAATCTGGTAATGGGCCTGATTGCCCACAGAGTACGAGCTGACTGGGCGGTAACCGTCGGATTATTTTGCACGACTCTTGGCGGGCTGCTTATGTGCATCATACAGCCCGAGTGGTCCTACTGGAGCTGCGCGTTCCTTTCTGTGTTCTTCAATCCCATTGGCGCGGACGCGTTGTTCACGGTCTCGAACCTTGTCATCACCTCTGTGTTTCCAGCGCGGACGCAGGGACTCGCAGGCGGCGTCTTCAACACGGTAGCGCAGATTGGCAAAAGTGTAGGACTAGCGACCAGTGCAGTAATCGCCTCTAGTGTGACGGAGCATTCGGGTTATATCGAGAAGGAAAGTCCTGCAGCACTCATGGAGGGGTTCCGTGCGGCGTTCTGGTATCTGTTTGCGTTGAGTTGCGCTACGGGGCTGTTGTTGGGGTGGGGGTTGAGGGGAATTGGGCGGGTGGGCATGAAGAGGGAGTGAAAGTCAAACGAGACAGGAATAGAGTCTACTGAAATAATTCAAAGTAATGTTGCCCTGCCAAGCGTTACACCCGGGCGGGTATGGTGAAGTGTGGAAGGTAGATGTGTAGCATGTTTCACGTTGGGTCCAGGGCTGGCACATGCAGATCCCGCCTAGTGACATCTGGACGCGCAACCAGGCCCAGGTACGGGAAGATCCACCTTTGCGTCGAGGGCGAGCTGACGACAACGAGGCCGAACGCACCCCCGGCGCCGCCTGCATCCCGCGCCATGATCATCACGTAGGTCCTGGTCTCGAACACCTCTCCACAACCATCAATGAGCCCGACCTACTAGCCGTTCCGTCACCCACCATGCTCAGCGGACCCCCGAGGGCCATCCCGCTCGTCTTCGTCTTCCTCGCCGCCGGCCTCGTGTGGTGGTATCTGCACGCCATCCCGTCAATCCCAACATGGAACTCCGGGAGCAGCGCTGCCCACGGCTACCGGCCCTCGCTGCGCGGTGACCCACTCGACTTTGGCCTGCCGCTGCGCTTCTCAGAGGCGCAGACGAAGCCGCCGGGCAGCAACTACACGTACAAGATCATCGTGCCCAAGACGCAGAAGGAGGACATTAGCTGGATGGACAAGGAGATTCCCGATGCGCCGCTGGTAGTATACGAAGTCGACAACCCCAATGCCGAGCACAAGATCCCCAAGAACAAAGGTCGCGAGGCCATGGTATGCATCAGGTCATTACATACAGGTGTTGTAATTGTCCGCTAACTGACCAGGTCTACCTCTCGTACATCATCGACCACTACGACGACCTCCCCGACACGTCCATCTTCATGCATGCCCACCGCCACGCCTGGCACAACAACCAGCTCCTCGGCCTCGACGCCGCGCAGATGATCCAGCGCCTCAACCACGAGCGCGTCGCCCGCATGGGCTACATGAACGTACGCTGCCACCACGACCCGGGCTGCCCGGACTGGATCCACATGGACCGCCCCGGCGGCGACTTTGACTTCTTCCACAAGCCCGAGGAGATCTACTGGCGGCGCAACATCTGGGAGGAGATCCACCCGGGCGCCCCGATCCCGCCTTCCATCTCGGGAATCTGCTGCGCCCAATTCGCCGTGTCGCGCCAGCGCATCCAGGAAGTGCCTATCGAGCGCTTTATTCACTATCGCAAGTGGCTCCTTACAACGGGCATGGACGACCAGTTCTCCGGCCGCATCTTCGAATATATCTGGCACTACATCTTCACCGGACATGAAGTCCACTGCCCGGCTATGAACACGTGTTACTGCGACGGCTACGGCATCTGTTTCGGCGGCCAGAAGAAGTACGACGAGTACTTCAAGAAGCAGGATGCGCGCAACGAGAAGTTTACCCAGCTGGATAAGTTCAACAAGCGCGAGGAGGAGGCTAAGAAGGACGGCAAGGACCCTAATTTCTCCAAGGAGGAGATTGGGACTATCAATAAACTGAGGACGGAGATTAGTGGTATGGATCGTGAGTTGGATGTGTTGAGAGAGGACGCGAAGAAGAGGGGGGACGATCCTAAGGCGAGGAAGGAGGAGACGGAGAGTTGGGATTCGTCGCATATCTGGGACTATGCTCCGAAGAATGGTTAGAAGGATATTTATTCTGGTGGTATATGATGGTCGATATCTTTGGGAGTGGGTGGGTTTATATCACTGTTCGCGGAAACTGCATGCACAGGGTAGGCGTTCATGGAGGCGTTTTCGAATAGGCCTGGCGAGCCTGCGTCGTGCATGAGGCTTTGCATTAGATTTATTTAGTTCGAGATAGTATTCAACAATGTGTTGTTCTTCTCTGCTGAGTATGGGAATTATGATCCTGGTGAGTGGTTCTCTCACCTCTTGCCAGGGCCCGTTCGTACGACCACCACGTGCTAATGCTACCCTCAGCATCCCGTCCTGCACCCAGCTCTTTTACACCTCTTTTCATCGCAAGCAATCATCCGTCTCCATCACAAAGCGTCTTATGTCAACAGCTCAAACAGACAATCTTCTAACCCGCCATCCATGTCGCACCTACCTCTCCAAATGCCGGTGGCTGGTGCGCTTGCCCCCGGGTGAGGCTCTGCTGCTGCCTTTCCCAATCGAACGTCGCTACCACAGACAGTCCGAGCGCGATAGTCTCCGCGTCCTTCTCCGCCGTGTCTCTTCAGTAATGTTTGACTTTTGTCTGAGACAGCGAGTTTGACCTGGTGTTCTGTTGTCTTGTCGTCTTTGTTGTTGGGGGTTTGCACACGCGACGCGCCGGGCGCTCTCCGTTGGTTGCAGTCACTGAAAGAGGTGGAATTCACAGGCGCAAAGACTCACCGTCACCCCCGCATTCACTGCTCTTCAAACAGTCACGAATGCTGCCTAGGGAGAAAGAGAGAGATAGCAGGTTCGATCGTTTCGCGGTTTTCCGACTCCTGTACGACGCGCGCGACACTTCACGCATACACCGAAATCTCGCCGAGGATCACATCACCATCGCGAGCGCACCATGCAGGCGACAATCGGTGACAATATCACGCTAGAAACGCCAGAGCCAAAGAAGAGGAGGCAAAGCGCACAGGACAGCTCACCAAGACGACGCAGCGAACCGAAAATCACCTTGCCGGCGTTGAGTGATTTCGCCAGATCACATGTCGCTAACTGGTCTCCGCCCGTACCAGTAACGCCCGAATCGGAAGCGTTACGAAGCCTGAAGAAGGAATGGAGACGCCAATCCCGCGATGAGCCTGTGTACGATGGGCCGAAAACTGAGAAGCAACTTATGATTGTGGATCTGCAAGACTACGAGATCTATCGAACACCAGAGAGCGAGTGTAGGGCCTATGAGCTGACGAGCCTGCACTACCTGGAAGTTTCGATTGCGAAGAAGTTATGCTTTGATGGTTTCATCTGCGTGGGGTCGACCAAACACTACGTGCATGCAATACCAATTCAGGATAGCTCTGTCGAAGGCTACGGCGACGATGAGAACTCTGGTGTCACTACTTACGTACAGTCCACGTTCGCAAGTAAAGACAAACACTACGATATCTGGTACAGACTTGCGAAGCCCGCTCCAGGCTACAAAGAGTTCCAGAAATCGTTCCTCTGGGTAGCGCAACTAGGGAAGCACATCATCGACTACGTGGATAACCAACCGGTGGGATCAGTCGCGCTCAACGACTTCCGCGAAGACTTCTATGACTGGCTCTCGCCCCGTTTTGGTCATTGCGCCGACTTCCAGCAATGGCATACTGCGTTTAGACATCAAACTGACTTTCGCGTCGCTGTGCATGCGTACATCGAGTACTTCTACAACCAGGCCTTCAACCTTCCAAATTCAAAACAGCTACTTGCTCATCCCCTCTGGAGCGAGTGTATGGCTAAAGGGTTAACAGCGGTGAAGGCGCAGAAGAAAATCGTTGAGCACACTATTGCTACACCAGAGGTATACGATTGCTTCAAGCACATGTACTTTGGTGAGCAAATCCAGGCAAAACGGCCTATCGACACGGTCAAAATTACACAGGAACGCAGGAAACGGAGGCTTGGGTTTGCGCAGAGTTTCTGGGCACGGCAACCGACTACTCCGCGACGGAATGTATGTCAACCCTATGGTAACTCACCAGTGAAGGTTGGCGACGTCGTTGCCTTAATCCCCGACGAGGCAGACGCAACCGTTTGGCGCAACACGACCTGGGAGTGGCTCGCATACGTCCAGGGTACCGAGTCCTTGAAGGACAGAACGCAGAGGTTGTTCGTGCTATGGATTTATCGACACCATGAGACCAACATCTTCAAGGCGGAATATCCATACACGAACGAAGTCTTCTTATCCGACAACTGTAATTGCTCTGAAGGAGAGCTGTTGTCTACGGACATCAAGGGAAGATACGATGTGGACTGGGCACCTTCCACTATCGACGCTGAGCGATTTTTCGTCCGTCAAACCTACGTCACTCAAGACAGCGCGTTTGTCAGTCTCCGATCTTCACACAAGACTTGCACGTGTCGGAAGGAAAAGCGCACACCCGTCGATGATTACGGTCGAGGCGACACGGTATATCTATCAAGGACCCGAAACGGAGACAAGTTTCTGGATCCTGTCGTCTTTCAACACATTGACCGCGTCAAGGGGATTGTTAGAGTACGTAGGCTGTTACGACTGGAACGCGACTGCGGAGAACTAGCAGCCAAAGCTCGGCGCTCGAATCTCTTGGCCAACGAACTTGTCCTTACGGACGAATACGAAGACGTGTCCATGTCCCGCATCCAGAGGCGCTGTCATGTCAAGTTCGTGAGCAAGTCTGACATCCAGGACGGACAGATACCTTTCACGTACAATCGTGGCGGTGCTGGTGATCTCTGGTTTTTGTCTATGGGATTGACTGGCGTGGAAGGCGATCAGAAACTCATCTTTCTGCGGAATCTTCCGAAGACATTCAATGAGGGCCCTGACATGGCTTCTGCTACATCATTGAGAGGAATGAGTATCTTCAGTGGCGGTGGCTCGCTTGATCGAGGCCTTGAAGAAGGTGGAGCAGTTACCTTCCACTCCGCTGTCGACTTCAGTCCCCATGCCATCCACACTCAGCGAGCTAACTCGAAGAGCCCGGAGACGATGCATCTGTTCTGTGGCTCCGTCGATGATCACTTTGACGCAGCTCTCAAGGGTAATAAACCTGACCTTGTCCCTCGGGTCGGAGAAGTCGACTTCCTTGCTGCTGGATCGCCATGTCCTGGGTTCTCAGCTCTTCAGCACAATATTCTCAGTCCGCAGTCCTTGAAGAATGCGTCACATATTAGCACCTTCTGCTCGTATGTAGATCTATACCGCCCTTTGTACGGTATACTCGAAAACGTCGTCAACATGGCCTCAACACGGACTGGATTCGAAGATCAGAACGTGTTATCTCAGGTGGTTGCTTCTCTAGTCTCGATGGGATACCAATGTAATCAGTACATCATGGATGCTTGGAGTTACGGCAGCGCGCAACAGCGTTCACGCCTGATCCTCACCATAGCTGCACCCGGACTTGAGCCAATTGCCCAACCTTGGCACACCCACGCGCGGCCTTACGAGGAGACGGCGGGACGAAGCTTAGGTTATTTACCCAACGGACAGAAATTTGGTGAACGCGAGCACTACCCAACGCCTTTTCCATATGTACCAGCGGTGTCCGTCGATGCGGGATTGCCCGACATTGGCAACGGTATCGTACAGACTTGTATTCCGTTCCCAGACCACCGCTTAGGCCAGTTACCAACGCGCAAGCAACGTGCACTGGTCAGATGCATTCCACGGCAGCCTCCAGGTTGTGGCTACAAAGAAGCGGACCAACTTGGTCTTATCCCGACGTCGCTACGAGACCCGAGAACCGACATCGGGAAAGCGTACAGGAGGATCAAAGCAGCGGGACTGGTACCGACTATCACAACGAACATAGTCATCCGCGATTCTCGAAATGGCGCTACATTGCATTGGGATCAGCATCGATCTATCAGTGTATTGGAAGCTCGTCGGACGCAAGGATACATGGATGAGGAGCCCATCATTGGTTCGCTTCCGGAGCAGTACAAGATCGTGGGCAATGGCGTGGACCGTAAGGTTGCTTTTGCCATGGGTCTGTCTCTACTACAGGCCGTCCAGAAGAACGAGTTGGGGTTTACTGCGAACGGAACGACGCAGAACTCCGCTGAGATTGTGGACGTTACTAGCGATACCGAAACAGCCCACGTTGAGACGAGTGTTAAGAAGCCCAGACCTCAGTCTAAAGCCCAAGATATGTCGCCTTCTCAGAAGGAACATCGCCGCAGGAGTTCCGGACCGGTGGTGGTGATACCTGGACGACGGCAAACCGATGGCGCTACTTCGACTGTGAACAGTACTCCGGGGCCGCCTAGGAGGAATGCGAGCATGCCCAATGGCGCAACTAGCAAAACTTCACAGACTCCACCTATCTCACAACCCAATGCCTCGGTTGCCCAGACCACCGGCTTCTTCTCTCGACTTTCCAAATCTCTCGCTGCTGGCGTCGGTCGACTCTCCTTGTCGAGTATGTCATCTTCCTCCTCTACCCCGACTTCCGCACCAATCCCCGCGGTGAAACGCAGTCGCGAAGAGGACGAAGACCCTTTCGCCCCAGAAAGCCAGAGCCGCACATCAAGAGAGCGACCCAGGAAACAACCCCGAGTCAGCGCAACGCCATCGGCACAAGACGGGATCAAACTTGAAACAGAACCTAGAAGGAGGAAGTCTGTGTTCTCGCATCGAAGCGGCAGTGTGAGTTCGACGAGCTCGAGTAAGACTCGTTATACTCGTCATTCGGGGTTGTCGGTGGAGTATGTGCCGAAGAATTGGAATAAGAGGGTTGAGGTTGAGACAAGAGGGGTGGTCTTTGAAGAGCAGTTTGTTCAGGCTGATTAGTTGATCTGAGATGTTAAGGGGAGGGTTGACGAGTGACTTTGGTGATGGAGGATCTTTCTTGTGGTGGGCCAAGTAGTTGGACCACGCGTTGTGGATACCCAATATTTTGGTGCCGAATCAATATATCGTAGCCTTGGTTTGTTTCTCTGTAGCTTCAATCAAGATATCAAAAACCATAACAGTCCCCAAGTTCAGCATATCCAAGTTCATCTACATGTGGCGATGCCTTCCACATCCGGACTAGTGCGGCTCTATTTGCGCCCGCAGCCGATCTCGCCAAAAATGCGGGACAACTTTTTTGGGGTAACAACAACGACCAACAACCAAGATTTCATAGTCAGCAGAACCAGGAGATGAAGCTTACCGAACTAACGGAAATCGAGCTGCCAGCGGCGTACGATGCTCATGTCCATCTTCGCGATGGCGAGATGTCGCAGCTCGTTACGCCTACGATTCGTAAGGGTGGTGTGAATCAGGTGTATGTTATGGTGAGTTTGGAAGCATTCATTCCATATTCAAGATCTCGGCCATTTCATTTTCGCTACCATCGTCAATCTTGCTCCCTCTTCGTGGTCTCTTTCTGTTCATGTGTTGTTGCCGATTTGCTCGTCTCGCAACATCTTGGTCACGTTTCTCTAACCCATCATATCACTATTACAGCCGAACCTGGTCCCGCCTATCACATCCGTGAAGCAATGTCTCGAGTACCGCGACAGACTTCGTGCTATTGAGCCGAATGTGGATTACGTCATGTCGTTGTATCTTCACGAGGATATCACGCCGGAGGTTATTCGTGAGGCGAAGAAAGCGGGGATTACGGGTGTGAAGTCGTATCCTGCTGGAGTTACTACGGTACGTGAGGCCTTACCCGATAGTCCTACAATTCACACAGACAAAAAGATGGATTGAGTAAAGAGGAAGATAAAGACTACAAGTACGACAGCCATCCTAACCCCCCACAGAACTCCTCCTCAGGCGTCCTCTCCTACGAACCCTTCTACCCCGTCTTCGCCGAAATGGAAAAACAAAACATGGTCCTCAACCTGCACGGCGAAGTCCCCTCCACACCCCCCAACACCCACGTAACAACAACCAAAGACACAAAAACAGGCGCCATAACCATCCTCAACGCCGAACCCGCCTTCCTCCCCACCTTCCTGCTCCTCCACGCCAAGTTCCCCTCTCTCCGCATCATCCTCGAGCACTGCAGCACATCCGCCGCCCTCTCCGCCGTCCGCTCCTGCGGCCCCTCCGTCAGCGGCACAATCACCGCGCACCACCTCAGCCTCATCATCGATGACTGGGCAGGCGACCCCTTTTGTTTCTGCAAGCCTGTTGCGAAGACGCCTGAGGATCGGGATGCGTTGCTCCGCGCGGTGGTGCAGGGGAATGGGAAGTTTTTCCTGGGGACGGATTCTGCGCCGCATCCGAGGGGGAAGAAGAGGGGGGAGGATAAGGTTGCTGCGGGGGTTTTTACGCAGCCGTATGCGGTGGGTTATGTGCTTGATGCGTTGGAGGTGGGGGTTATGAGGGGGGTTATTGGGGAGGAGGAGGTGACGAAGGAGGTGCTGGAGGGGTTCTTTGGGGGGTGGGGGAGGGGGTTTTATCAGATTGTGGATGAGAAGATGGAGAGGATTGTGTTGAGGAAGGGGAAGGAGACGGTTGTGGATGTGTTGAGGAAGGAGGGTGGGGGCGAGTGTGAGGTCGTGCCGTTTAGGAAGGGGGAGGTTACTTGGGGAGTGGAGTGGAAGTGAGCGTTTGTCTGAATCATAACCGTGAGATGAGAGGCTATTATATATGTAGTTTGGCTCGACGTCTGTCACAGACATAGTACTACCAGTGACAAACTCCACATCTTCAGACTTTCCCATTCGCAAATTGCAACCCTGCCTAGTATGCTGGGTTCCGTTGTCAGATGAAGCGGAAAAGAGCGGTGAAACGTGCAAGGGCAGTATATATCTGCGGTTTGAAAAGCTTGTGCAGACGGAGACTTCGTTCTTCTGTATGCTGCTGTAGTATACAGAACCAGAGAGTCATGCATACGACATCAAGTTCTGTAGCAGATATCTCCAACATTTTAATGCCATACTATGCCTACATTAATGTCATGCCACTAGTATCCATCGCATCTTAATGCCACAATACGCCTACATCACGCACTGCCCTTACTCTATACATATCCCATCTCCCACATAGCTGTCAACCTCATTCCTTGCATATCCCATACGAATTCCAACCCCAATGTCACCGTCACGCTCACTTCCGCCCTCACATACAGCTCCTCGCTCCTCGCTCTCTGCCGAACTCACGGTGAACGTGAGCAGTGAGCCGCACTTTTCACCGCCAAGACAGCAGCGAGCGTTTGCACCCAGGACGCCCATAACAAAAGTTTTCATGCCGCCGATTTTTGAGATTCTTCAGCAACACACACTGGCTACACTCGTAAGTATCCTTTCTTTTTGTTATGGCATTCATGGTTTTGCGGATTACATGGGCTGCGGCAGCCCAATTCCCTTTCCGCATCCTGCTCCCTACCGTCTACATCACCCCCAGCATCTCACTGCCCTTGTGGCATCCTGCCCTCTACCGCCTACATTACCCCCAGCACCTCAATTCCCGTCTCTCATAGTCCTCCCTACCGCCTACATCCCCCCCAGCCCCTCCTCTCCCTTCCCGTAACTAACCACATAGTCACCATGACCACCCACACCACCACCACACTCCTCGCCTTCACGGCAACGTCGCCGGCATGGCCCACCACGCCCGCCCTCACCACCATCAATCTCGGGCGCGACATCGCCATGGAAGTCCTCGCCACAGAGGCAAATCAAGACCGCCTTCGGGCACATCAAGATCGCCTTCGGGCACTACAAGAAGGAGAGGCTACGGCCGACGAGCTCAAGGAGCTCGAGACGATTTCCGGTGAGTTGTTGCTTTGCGTGCAGCGATTTGAAGCGTTTTTGGCGAGATGGGATGGGGAGGTTTTGGGGTTGGGTTTGGAAGAGGGGGGGATGGAGGAGGAGATGGAGGAGGGTGAGATTGAGGAAGGGGAGGTGAAGGAGGACGAGATGGAGGTCGACAAAGATTCGCCTTCACCACCACCACACGGGCCCGAGCGCCCCCAACGCCTCGACCCCGCCGCCATCGCCGCCATCAGCGTAGGCGACATCGGATGGGCGCCACTCCCCCGCATGGCAGCCACCTCGCGCGACTGGTTCATCCAGTCCGCGTACGGCCAGATCTGCATCAAGGTCTACCCGTTCATCATCGTCAAGAAGATGAACGACTGCATGATCGGCATGCCCATCACAACCGCCGGAGGCAACGGCCTCACCAACAAGACTCCGTCGCTTCGTGCGCGCAGCACGTATGTCGTTGGAGCCAATTTCCGCGGGAAGAACGATGTCCCTTATGGATGGGGCATGGGGCCCGCAAAGATGAATCTGGAGGTGGACCAGACGGCGGGGGCGTACGAGCCTCGTTCTGGCGCCTTTGTGGACGTGTTGGACACGTACCAGATCCCGTACAACGCGAGGTGGAAGAAAGAGGGGCGCCTGACGCATGCTAGTCGGGTGAACTTGGGTCGGATGAGGCACGCGGTGCTGGAGAAGGATGCGCTTCGTGGTGAGGTTTGAGGGAGGGGGGCTCGGGGGAGGAGGGCTTGGGGACTACAGCTTGTGTTGAGGCGTTTTGTATATTAGCATAGGGCAAGGTGATGGGCTTCGCGTACTTTTCACTCAGCGAATTGAACCCGTATCCTGCCATGTATGCTTCATCCACCTTTGTGCCATGTCAGTGCACACACCCCTGACTTATTGTAGATCCCAGCCCTATTATCCACACATCCTATATAACTCTGCCGCTTCTTGTAGTTCCCTAAAGCTCTTGCAATCCGCTATAATCTTCTGCTCGGATTCGGGCCAGCCATTCTCGTTCACCATCTTTATAATCTCTTTGGACCGTTCACGTCCTTCCAAGCCGACGAGACGCGTAAGAGGACAAGCACAGTGTGCTAACAGAGTATCGACCTGTTCGCGGATCTCGTCGCTCAGCACGATGGTATCGACCAGCATTTGTCCCTCTGTTGACGCATTGTGACACCGTGAGTCTATGTCATTTGATCCAGCGTGATGGTCTGAGTTCCTACATACTCTGACGACCCATATGAAGTTATGGTATACTCGCTGGATTGGTTAGCTCAATGTGATAGGTACAGGGTTTCATGTACTTACGTTGAATTCCACTCGATCTCCCTCTTCATAGCGCAACCAGCACTCGCCGACGGCTTCGGTACCCATGCTTCTGCCGGTGTGTGCAGATTTCCATTCGTCAAGTCTGTAAACGGGGTAGAAGTCTCGACGAAGGATTATACCACTCTTTTCAGGCACGTTCTCTGACGGTTCAGTATTGCCGTACCACCACGCCGCATCTACCTTCCGTAAATTCTGTATCCGGTCGTGTGGCTTGTAACTCAGCTTTCCGGGTTCTTGAGTGGGATAGCTTTCGGTACAGATACCTGTCACGCCATCAACGTTGAGATTCCTCTTCGCCCTATCAACCGGATCAATAATATGAACGATTATAGGTCTTGTAGTAGCCGTGTCTTCTTCCGTGTTTGACGGGTCGGTAATGAAGTCTGCGTCGCCAATCGTTGCGGTTGTAGAATGATTAGTCCTCATGCTTGCATTGTCGGTATTGGTATTCGGCCGCTGTCTCATAGCTGCGTTGGAAGCTTTTTTGTATACTCTGGATTTCGAGAGGACAGATTCGAAGTGTTGTTCGGAAGCGCCGTCAGTAGGATCGACAAGGGTTGAGAGATTGCTCAAGAGACTACTAGGGGAATCTTCGGTTTTGAATGTAGACTCCGCCACTGTGAGGGCATAAGCCTTTCGCATGTTTTGGGTGTGTTCGTTCATTGTTGTCATCGTCTTGCTTTGTTCTTTTTCCTGAAGGAGTTTCTTTCTCTCGGTCGAAGAATCCCTGCTAAAGTCAGTCCGCCATTCATGGCTGTAGCTGTACGCTATATGGAGACTTTGTCTTCACTCACGTGTTCAGCGGGCCGATCAACATGTTGATCGCAGAATGCTGTTGATGCAGCCGTTCCAAAAAGTCCTTGACTTCATCCTCATTCCACAGAGTCCTGAATTTGGCTTTCGAGCTCATACTACCATCGCCATGAACGCCCTTCATGATCTTCGACACGTACTTCCCGAGGCATACCCCAAGCACGAGAGAGCTTATCAGAGTCGTATCGAGCGTTTCGACCAAATCTGCGTCCGCGTGCACAGCATTCGTTTCGTCCAGAAGTAGTGCCTGCAGCCGCGATAGTAAGGTCCCATTGAGTTTGAGCTGGGAACAGAGGAATCGCGCGGTAACGGGCGCGTGCTTCCATTTGTTCCGTATGTCGTTCAGGCCTTTGGCAGCTCCGAGGAAAGTCGTAATGATCCGGAGCTAAAAGTGTGGTTAGCTTAGCAATACGGCTCTGACTAAGATCCCGGCGGAGAGAACTTACCACATTCGTCGCAATGCTTAAGGGGTCCATCTTACTCGTTGCGAATCATGCGGGTTGAACGGGTACGTCTGAACAAGACTTTTATTACAACCTAGCGACAAGGCATAAAGAGCGTCCCAATTGCCACCAAAAGGAGAAAGAGGCTTTCAGCTGCAGCCTGCTGTTTGACATGTTATTCCAACAACTGCAAACTTCTGTCATTATCCTTGTGCTTATTTTTGTGTGCGTGCGTCCGTCGGGATCGTATCGAAGACGTGAACCTAGAATGCTGTACCCTCTCAGAACCCCGAGGTTTTCTTGAGATGCGATGATTCTCTGGTTCGTGAGTATGTCCTTGCGTTCGTTTGGTAGTACTAGAAGCTTGAAGGTATCGTGTATTGACCCAAATGCATGTACGTGCGTTACAGTCGTATGAAATGCGGAAGGTGTGATTGGCTCGTCGTCTCTGTGTTGCCTCTAGGTCATCGTCATTGGAACCGGGAAATCCATGGAGTCCTGTGGATATTTCGCACTTACACGACACGGCGCGGGAAGCCGTGGCTTTTGAACATTTTGTGAATTTCAGAAATGCCTACTATGCCATACGGAATAGCATGTTTACCTTCCAGCACCCTCCCATAGAATGCAAGACTGCTACCATCATTACATAATTCTTCCGTGATCCATACCTCACGGCACTAACGAGACAAAACCTTCCAGCCAGCGACATGGCCTCTGCGGATAAGGCTTACATCAAGTTGTCCGTCGCCAAAGCCCTGGGCTGGCCGAGTTCTAACCTCCCTTCCTAGGGGCGTTGGGCACAGCGACCGGAGCGCGAGCCGCCCCACCCGCAGACGCGCCCTTCTTACGCTGGTAGAAGGCTTCGACGACCTTGCGAACGTGAGCCTTAGCCTGGTGCTTGTCGGCGGGTGCTTTGATGCTTTCGAGCGTGTACGGGGCCTGGATGAGGACGGAGTCGTTGACGACGATCTGCGTATCTGCCCACCGAGTCGGCAAACTATGGTTCGTATGTTAGCCCTGATATCCTGTCTCTGCCAGATCTGATATGACTCACGTTCTCGAAATAGCATCGAACAACTCCTGTGCTTCAGCACTAACACCCTTGCCCTTCTGCATATCCTTCTTCTTCATCTCGCGGATGGTTTGATCTTCGCGGGCTTGTAGCGCGGCCAGATCCACCTTGGAGATGCTGGGGAGTGCGCCATCGAACCCTGCTGCGGATTCAGGTACCCGCTCTCCTGTGCCGATGATCTCGAAGGACTCAATGTGTGCGAATGGGATGATGTGGTAGTCGCCGGGCTGGCTGAATAAGGAGGCGGGGGAGGGGTTCGGTGGAGCGGGCGCGGTGTTGATGGCTATGGCATGGGTGAGGTTGCAAGCCGTGAAGAGGGTGCCCTCGAGGACGTTCTTGCCAGGGGCACATGTGACTTTGATGCTGGGAACTGTCAGCTACCATCCCAGCTGTGATACCACTTCGACGAGCGGAACGTACCGTGACCCAACAGCCTTGTACAGATCGGAATCCGCGCCAATGACATCTTTGTTCGATCCAGGGCCGGCTTTTAGGTTCGGAGTCGCAACCTTGCCCGCAACGCTATTGCGCTTGTTGTCCGCCATGACGGTCCTGCTCTTGTGTGCCTCTGTCTAGGCGACTTGTGTATTACGGGCGGCGGAGGCTAACGTGTTGCTCCGCTACAATTGGGTCTCGTCAGCACCTAGTCCCTGCCCAGATTCTACGACGGAGGACCTAACGCCAGAGACTCATACAAGCAGTGAATATACAATCCAAAGGAATGAAAGAAATGAAAACGCGACGACGCACGCGCAACCGGGTCGTGGGGCAGCGCTGGCGTGGCGGAGCTGGCGGAGCGCGAGGCGGGTGGGTTGATGTTGTCGTGATGCGCTGCAACTTTCCGTGGTCGCGATGCCAAGCCTTTACGCAGGGCGCTTGCCGCTGGGCCAATTATAGAAGGTATAGGGTGTAGGCCTTGGAGACGCTTCCGTCCCGAGTGTATCCTGATTGCTGGGAAGCCGATGCGCGTGCGACCTCGTAACAATGTTCAATTCATAGTGGGGTGGCTCGTCAAGGGTCTACCTGGAGGTACGCGACGATCAACGCTAACTGCAGCTAGCGTACGAGTAACAACACAGCGGTCAAGCTGAGCTCCAAACATTCACCGGCACATGCAAACATTGGACATGCGAATCGTTATATTCATTCTAGAGTCGAGGTATCTCAGTTTTCACGTTCGTCATAAAACATGAACTCGGGGCAGCCCTCTGCTCCCGTCTAACAAGCAATGGATATCCCCTTTTTAAGCGTTGTAGGTCTGGCAAGTTGTTAGTGTCTTCTAAATGATTAAGGTGCGTGAGACTTACAGAAGCAGAGATGTTACCACCCCTTCCGGTCCAGTTGACGTGGATGTCCTGGCCCTCCTTGTAGGTCTCGTTGGCGAACTCGGGCTTGATCCTGAAGGTGTGGGCACCGAAGTAGTCACGCTGCGCCTGCAACAGGTTGGCGGGCAGGTCCTTGGCGCGGTATCCATCGTAGAAGCTGAGGGCGGTGCTGAAAGCAGGGGTGGGGATACCCCAGAGAGCACCCTTGGAAACGGTGTCTCTCCATCCGGACTGGGCCTTGTGGATAGCCTTGCTGAAGAAGTCGTCGAACAGCAAGTTCTCGAGCTCGGGGTTCTGGCGGTAAGCCTTGGTGATCTCCTTCAAGAAGACGGAGCGGATAATGCATCCACCGCGCCACATGAGGGCAATCTCGGGCTTGTTCAGCTTCCACTTGTACTCCTTGGCGGCGTTCTGGATCAGCATGAATCCCTGGGCGTACGAGATGATCTTGGACGCGTAAAGAGCCTGCTCGAGGTTGTCGATGAAGGCCTGGCGGTCGCCAGAGAAGCTGGGGGTGGGGCCGTCCAAAAGACCGGCGGCACGGCCACGCTCCTGCTTGAGCGAACTCAGGCAACGGGCGAAGACGGCCTCTCCGATCAGGGTAACGGGCATACCGAGGTCGAGCGCGTTGATGGCGGTCCACTTTCCGGTACCCTTCTGACCAGCAGAGTCCATGATCTTCTCAACAATGGCAACACCATCGTCGTCGTTCTTGTACATGATGTC